CCTGGAGTGTTTGACGCCCCACTCCGCGCGCTGTCGCGCGCAAGCGGGAGCGCGCGCGCGCGGGGGGAGAGGGGGAAGCGTGTGCGCGCGGCGGCGAGGAGGAGGCGGAGGAGGAGGAGGAGGAGGAGGAGGAGGAGGAGGAGGAGAAGGTGGAGGAGGGAGAGGAGGACCAATGTGGGTGCACTGCTGGTGCCCTCCCGGAGGCCTAGACTCCAGGCCTGCGACAGTCTGCGCTGGACCACCCCCCTCCCGGGGCGCGCGGAGCGCGCCACGGGGCGGCGCTTGAAGGTGCCCCCGGGGAGGCCCAGCGCCGACCCCAGAGCTCGCGCGGGCCTCCGCATGCCGGTTTTGTGGATGCCACGACCATGGACACTCGAGCAACCCTGTCACTGAATGAAATCTGTGCTTAACGTATGTAAAACATGTGCTAAGAGCGTTTCGAACATCCCTAACATGTGCTAAAGCATGTGTAAAACAGCCCTATCACTGAATGAAATCGGTGCTTAACATGTGTAAAACATGTGCTGAAAGCGGTTCAAGCATGTTTCAACAACTTCAGAACAGACTTGAAACATCTTCTAGACCTCTGGAAAGTGTCTGGCAGCTTGCTTCCTCTCCACTGATCGACTTCCACAATGGTAGTGAGGATGCGCGATCAGGATGTAGGCCCCTGGGACGCCCACGTCCAAGCTTTTCGAGCAGGGCTGGCCATTGATGGTCAAGGATGGACCGAAGAGGCACGACTGCACGCGTGCCCTTGGGAAGGCGGCCGATCCCCCTGATCGATTCCGACTGTAATAACTCGGCCCAGGGCCTTCCCCTGGGGGCTGGCTGTTCCTCCTGATCGGGGGCGGCCAAGAGGGGGGCGCCCAAGAGTGGGGGGGCAGAACTCATGGCCGCGGCACGTGCGCGGCCCAGGGGAGACCCGGGGCGCATTGAAACAAGAAGAGGCGCCATGAAATCTGGGGAGATATAATGGCCCCCGCCATGAGATCCCCCCCCAATCATCACCCCCCTCTTTGCCGCCCTCGACTGAGCTGCCCTTCGATGGGATCCCGGGACGACGCGGGGCCCTTCCCCTCGGGACCCCTCGTCCCTCCTGGGCCCCGTTTATCCGACCCCATATCCCAACGGCGTGGCCTGGGCCCCACTGGCCAATGTACCCGGGATATGGGCCGTTTCCTTCGGGTTTCCCTTCGGATCTCGGTGGGGATATTCCCAACTATAGGGTGGTGGGATGGTGGGGCCTGGATCGGGATACGGATGGGGATATAGGGATATGCGTCGGTCAAACGATACTGAGCCCACGAACTTTCATCAGGACAAGCTTCTCGTCCCCAGTCGCCTTTCGAAACGGAGCCCCAGGACCGCAGAACCTGGGGCCCCCGTTCCCTCGGCGGTTCAGAGATGGGCCCCGAGAGATAGTGCCCTAAAGATCAACAACGGATGGCCTCAAACGGTAAACGTTCAGCTTGGATCCAGTTCCTATACCCATCCCGGGTCGGACGAAATAGAAGGCTACGCAAAGGGGGGGTTAGCGAATCAAGACGGTCCAAGAGGGCCCCGAATCGCCGAACAATCAGTCCAAGATGCCAAAGATGGCCTCCTGACAGCCCAAGCGGCTTCCAAGACGTTCGAAGGGTCCTTCAAGAGCACACCAAGAGAGCCCCAACAGGCAACATCAAATTACTTTCTTTGGGATTGTGAAAAGAGTCTAGCGTTCTCGCCTTTTCGGCTTCCTGGCGCCCCAAGACGGCCCAAGATGCCACCAAGATCGGCACAAGAGGACACCCAAGAAGGCCCCAAGACGACCCTAGAGGCCTCCCAGACGGCCTTCGAAGCCACCAAAACGGCTCCAAGAGGGTGCCCAGACAGGAGCCCGAACGAACAGTTCCAGCCCTCGGCCCCGAGAAGCTCCAAGGAGGCCCCAAGTGGCCCCCAAGAAGAGGCCCCCACAAGGCCCCAAGAGGCCCCCAGGAGGCCCCTGGGAAGCCCGAAGGGACCCCTAAGAGGCTCCAAGAGGCCCCCAAGATGCTCCCAAGAGGCCCCAAGACTGCCCCCAAGAGGCCTACGAGCGCGCCCCGAAGAGACCCCACGAAGCATCGCTGAGGACTATGCCCCACCTCAGCGCCGTCGCCGCCGCCGACGTCGCCGGGGTCGCCGTCCGGGACGGCGGCACCGGCCGAAAGGCCTTCCGCCGACCCGGACGGCGACCCGGACGGCGAGCGGCGAGACGAACGCCGCGTATCATCTCATTCCTCTGATCCCTCCTCGTCATCCTCCAGACCCTCCTCCTCTTCCCCCCCCCTCCTTCGCTATCCCTCCCCCTCCTCATCCTCCTGCTCCTCCTCCTCCTCCTCCTCCTCCTCCTCCTCCTCCTGCCCCTTTTCCTCCTCCTCCTCCTCCTCCTCCTCCTCCGCCTCCTCCTCCCTTGTTCTCCTCCTCCTCCTCCTCCTCCCTCCTCTTGTTCTCCTCCTCCTCCTCTTCCTCCTCCTCATCTTCCTTTTCCTCCTCCTCCTCCTCCTCCTCCTCCTCATCCGCCTCCTCCTCCTCCTCCTCATCCTCCTCTAGCGTGACTTTCCCAGCTCTGGTGTTGGAGCTCTCTCAAAACCTTCCTTGACCACGCAGGCCCTCAGTGCTCTTCGAAGCATCGTCGGACGTCTAGGAAGCAGATGTGGGCCGCGTGGGCGCCGCCTGGGGCGTGTTGAGCGCCGCTGCTAGCAATTGGTGGCGGTCCTGGAGTTTGTCGGGGGTTATGTGGGCTATCTTAGTCCGTCTGAGGGACGCTTAGGACGTCTCAGGGCCGCTTCGAGGGCCGTCTTTGGGCCCTCGGGGGCTCCGTTGACCCTTTGGGGGCGCCTGAGACGGTCCTGGGAACTTTTGGGACGTCTGAGAACGCGGAGCGAGCCTCGCCGTGCATGAGTCGGACGACCGAGCTCCGCACAGAGCTTGTCCACAGACCGAATCACGGAAACGACAGGTTTAAAACGGTCGGACGACACTTGGCAACCTCCGAAAACTCTTCGGAAACCAGCGTTGACATCTCATGAAGTCTCCCAGTGCACCACCGCTGGATTCCGCCGAGCTTCCCGCGGCGGCACCATCCTCGTTTTACCTGCGTTGGCTTTCGTTGAGGGCGAAAGGTTCACCCATCGAGTCGTCATAGTGAATTCTTACACACCTCAATGGCGCACGGCGGATCGGACCAAAACTGGCATCCAAGAGTCAGATCGGCCAGGAATCATAGCTCCTAACTTGGCCAGGCCTCTCAAGGGCCACTGGCAAATGCTCATGGAATGCCTGACCAAACTTGGTGCTGGCATATCACTGACCCCTCCCGCGAATTTGACGCGACGCTTCATGACTTCCGAACCCGCCGACCTGGAAGGCGATGTGATCTTATGTTTGGGGCGCAAAGGCAAGGCGAGGTGCAGCAGCAGTAGTCTGGCTGATGGGGCAACGTCAGGCCTCCTCTCCGACGATGCCCCACACGGCATCTAAGGCAAGGACAATCCGCCCACCCGTCTAGGTGACTAGCGTATGCAACCACTTCCTCCCAAAATTTCTTCAGCAGAGGGCGGGCAACTCGGCTCATGTAGTGCCCAGCCACCCTCGCCCGTTCGACAGGTGGCCCCGACTGACAGATCTGCCACTGGCAACAGGGAGGGTTGCACTCCCCCCGAGTGTTCATCTGACAAGCGACACAAATTGTCAAATGGGTCATGGGCGACAGTATTGACAGGACATATCTGAGCCCAGAAAAGGAAGATCTCGGGCGAAATTGATTCAATCACCTCAGGTCTGGGCATCCCCGAAACACAACCCCGACGATCCCCCAGGCGAGAAGGACCGGGACCACGTGAGGTGAGGACCTCAGTACATGAACCCAGAGTTGCAAGGAGATCTCAAGCGAAACGAACAGTCCACGGCAGCTGCAAACCCAGAACAGCGAGGAACGAGATCGGATACAGTGAGGCAAGAGCATCGACTACCCCAGGATAACGAGGATGCATCGGGCGAAGATTGCTGGACGAGCTCAGGCCAGGTCAGATCCGAGCCCAGAGTTGTGACGAAGTGTGAAGCGAACCTAACTGGACCAGCTCAGGTCAGGGCATCCATGGGCCCTGAGTTGCGAGAGTGTGGGAGGAGAAGCTGGATAGACCTCTCGCGTGCCTCGAAGCCCACAACTGCGAAGATGTCTCAAGCCAAAGGGCTGGAAAGCCTCAGGACAGCGGCGAGGATGTCGAAGCGAACTAGGCTGAACTATCTCTCCCGCGGCATCTCCAAGCCCACAATTGCAGGAAGGTCTCAGGCGAGACCGACCAGACCGCCTCACAGGCGGCGCCTCAGGACCCAAAATAACGATGATGGTTCCGACGCCAATGGTCTATCGCGACTCCTTGTCCAACCCCATTCTTCCCCTTCGGGGATGGGGTCATCGCTGCTCCTGGATAATAGTTACCACCTCGCCCAATCTACCGACCGCTAACCTGAGTCACTGCCACCCCCCACGAGTCCAACCAGTCGCTCGATAGGTGTCGGCGGCAGAGGCGGCAGCCTTAGATAAGCATCCCAACAAGCGGTGCCCTTGGCAAACGCACCGAAGCTGGGAATCGAGCAGGGCAGGCCTGTCCAGTAAACGCCTAGGTCATTTACCTAAACTCCGTTCTGGGGGTCGGGGAGGGTTCCCTTCCCTTCATCGCTCCCACGACGACTTGGGCGCCCGAGTTATCCGGGGTAACTCGGGTCCGGGGTAACTCGGGTTCGGAATCCCGACAAAACCAACCCGAGTTAGCCCTGACCCGAGTTACCCCTGATGATTCGGGGCTCTGGACGCCCGAGTTATCCGGGGCAACTCGGGTCCGGGGCAAGTCGGGTTCGGAATCCCGAACAACGAACCCGAGTTAGCCCTGACCCGAGTTCGGGGCTCTGAACGACGACGACGACGACGACGACGACGACGACGACGACGACGACGGCCGCGAGCGGAAGCGGGGCACCCCGCGCCGCCGGCGCTGGGGCCGCGCGCTCTCCGGGGCCGCAGGGCCTGGGGCACTCCGCCTTGCTCTGGCGGTGGAGCTCCTCTCCAGCGCCCGCCGGCGGTGGCGTCGACGAGGGGGCAAAGGGAGAGGGATGAGAGAGGGGGAGGGGGGAAGGAGGAGGAGGAGGAGGAGGAGGAGGAGGAGGAGGAGGAGGAGGAGGTAGGAAGGCACCAACTATACACCAACACCGATCCTGGCCAGGATCACCCTGGGCCCAGGATCGGCGTATGCGCCCTCCCGCCTTGCGCAAGAAGGCACATACACCGATCCTGGGCCCAGGGTGATGGCGGACGAGACGAGGGAGGGGGTGAGAAGGGAGGGGGGAGGAAGGAAGAGGCAGGGAGGGAGGCGGAGGAGGGAGGGAAGGAGGGGGGAGAGGGGAGGGAAGGGGGAGACATAGACCGCGTGCAAGCGTCTACACGAAGGGACTACGCGAATTTTGGGCCCGAGTGCCCCAGAAAATACGGCTCATGCATTGTTATGAGAACAGCAGCTCACACATTGTCAAATCACCAAGTATGGCCTTATGAATGCAGCGGCACTGGTCCACGCTTAATTGTTCGCGCATTTCTCAATATCATCTGTCCACCCAGCTGTTGGCCACGACTGTCTGCGGTGTGCTGACTGGGCGAAGCACAACGAGGGATCCGAAACAAACTCTTTGTGGTCCCATGTCCATGTTCCCATGGTTGCTTAAGCAGTGGGGAGACGGAGCCAAGGGGAGCGAGGGGAAGGAGGAAGATGGGGGGGAAGGGGAGGGGAACGGGGGGGCGGGAGGGGCAGGACAAGGGGGAAGGGAGCCTAGATTTATATGAGCCACTGAGTATAGAACAATCAGCTCGGCAACGATGACCGGTGCGAAAAAAACATCGCCGCGGCGGGATGGGCACTATCAGCCCGTCTCCTGCAGATGGTCCTGCCTCCTCAGGCCTCGCGCTCGGGCTCGCGCTCGGCGCGCGCACGCGCGCGGGCACGCCCGCGTCCACCGCAGCCACCCCACACCTGAGGCGCAAGCCCTCCCTGTCTCATGATTGAGCTGCAACTACTCCGTCGCATGCACCTCATGAGCCGAACTGCACCTCCGTCATTTTCGACTCAAAGTATGCGTCGGCACCAGCAGCTCAAAAGTTCACACCAGCGGGGGAAGCATGCGCAAGTCGCATGCCATTAGCAAGGCGAACGCACTCAAACCGAGGCCATGACATCCTGCGTGAGGGACAGGACAAGGCCATCGCACCCGCTGTTGAAACGCACGGGATTGAAGTTGACATAGGCAGAAACGGAATCAGCACCTTGCCTCCGAATGACGCTGCACTGGTGCCAAGGACGAGGAGGACTCCGTGGCCATTCCTACTGTCGAATATAAGGGCTCGGGAGCGAAGAAGAGGCAACCACAACTGCTGCGCTGAGGAAACCACTTTGGGCGCCGCCAAAAGGCCGACCCCGCCCACCCCCCCAGCGGTCATGACCTGCGAGCGGCGCCCAATTTCAAGTGCCGCGCGCAGATCATCACTGGAGTCATCACCGTCAGGGGGTCGAGGTCAGCCTTGGGAGACGCCAAGGGGGATCCCTCAGCCCATCGGCTGTTAATCTGTCGTCTCGCCCATGAAGACGGGGAAGGGGGGCGGATGTGCAAGAATCATGGCCTCGCGTTACGGATCGGCCTGGGCCAAAAGTCCCAGGGCCTGGAAGGGTAAACTGTCTACGCTTCCAGCACCGGGAGCAACAACCATGAGCCAAGGCATCGGGAAGAACGTCCCACACCGCAGGCACAACGAGCAAAAACGGCATCGACTACAATAATAGGCAACTTTGAGCACGACAAAGATAAGCAACTTTGAGCACGACCAAAATCACCAAAGTTTCGTTTGGGGCCCAGTTGAGCCCGGGCAAACAGACAACGAAGACTCGACAGGCCCACGCGCGAGCCACGAAGCGCGGGACGCGAAACTTCTTGACGCGGTGCTGGCGGTCGCTCAGCGGGGGAGGGCTAATAGATCGGGCTGCGAAACGGCAGAGCAGCGAAACGGCAGAGCAGCACCAAGAAGGCGGGGGAAGAAGAGGGCCGCCGCGGAGAGGGGGAGGGGGCGGAACGCGAAACACGAATACAGTAAAGTGGAATAAGGATGCGCGATAAGGACGCAAGGGCTTGGACGCCCATTTCGCAGAGTTTCGAGCGGGGCGCGGCCAACGAGAGCGGCCAAGGATGGGCCGAGGAGGCAAGGATGCAAGGGTGCCCTTGGGAAGGCTGCCCATCCCTACTGTGCGGGTTGACTGTAAGCCGAGGGGCCGAACGAGAAGAGCGAGCGCGACAGCGGCGAGCATGCACCACAAAGCAGCAGGGCGTGCCACCCGGTGCGCGGGGCGCGTGGCGCCACCGCGGGCTCCCCTCTCGGGGGCCTCCGTTCGCCCCTCGTGCCGCACGCAGGCTGTGGCCGTGCATGTGGCGCCGGTCAACACAGCGCACGCTTGGGCGCCACCTGGAGCCGTCGCTCACCTCATCTCGGGTCGGGCGAAAGGGGAGGATAGCAAAGGGGGGGGGTGCTGATTTTCCCGGCGCCTCCCGGCGCCGGAGGCGCCCATGTATCGAGGAATGGGTCCGGCGGCGAGGCCGAAACCAGCTGCATGCAGCAGACTTCGCAACCCCCTCTTTCCCCAATCCCCCCCTTTTCGTCCGGCCCGATCCTCCTGAGGTCAACAACTGCCCTTCGTGCGGTCCCGTTCGTCGCCCTCGCCCCTGCCGGGAGGCGCGGCACGGAGGCGCCCCGCAGGGCCAGGCTCCCCGATGCTCGCGGGGCAGCGCGCACGAGGGCCGGTCCCCGAAGCGGCGGGCCCTCGCACGAGCACCGGGCACTCGCAAAGTGCAGGGCGGTGGCGAGCACCAGGCGCAGGCCTGCGGGCCGCGGCAGGCCGGCCCAGGGATCGAAACGAGCAGGGCCAGGACGAGCAGGAACGGGGCCGGCGGAGGCGGCGGCCGCTTCGCGAAGGTGGGCAGAAGACCACTCGGTTGCACGAAAGAGTGACCCTGGGTTAGGAGGCAACTACTGGGAGGTTTTCGTCGGAAGGATTAAAGAGGATTAAGCCCCATTGGGGGGCTGCTATGCCGGAGTGGGCCTCGGATTAAGCCAGATTAAACGGGATTAAGCGGGATCAAGCCGGATTCAGCGGGATCAAGCTGGATTAAGCCGGATTAAGCCGGATTAAGCCAGATTTAAGCCGGATTTCGGACCAGGACAAAACAGAATTTGACCTCCCAGGAGTTGCATCCGAACCTGGGTAAGAGTGACCTTTGGTGCGCGGCCTGAGGGGACCGCGGAAAGGGGCCAAATCCGAGCAGTCCCTGAGCGCCGGCCAGTGCTGGCGGGACCCACTTGCGCCCGCACCAAAAATGGCTGCAAGCCAAGGGTCACTTGCACGCGTAGCCATACCACCGGGCGGAGCGAAGAGAACGCCAGGCACTTGCCGCTGAGGGTGTCCTTGGCATGGCCCTGGCCTTGCCTCTGCCCGTGCGAGGCAGGGAACCACTCCTGGACTGCAGTGCAACTCTGGGCGCGTCGAGGGGCGACGCCAACCGCAGCTCCAGCGCGCGGAAGCACACCGGCATCAGCGGCAAGATGCGCGCCACCTTCAGGTCGGCGGCGCGCCAACGAGGGAAGCGAGAGGGGTCCCCCCCCGAGCGCGGGGCGGGCGCGGGGCACCGAGCGCCCGGCTGGGCGCGCCCCCCGCGCGGAGCTCATGAGGGCCTCGCGGTGCCCGCGGCGCTCCCTCGGCGGAGCCCCTCCTCGTTGGGGAGGGGCCCACGCAGGCGCTGCTTCTCGCCCGAGTGGGCTTTCGTGCTAGGAGTCGGAGGAGGGGGAGGAGGAGGCCCCCCCCCCTGCGGCGTTGGAGCAGCCTCGGGAAACTTCTCGCAAGGCCGGGGGCCTTCGGAGCCCTCTCGGCAGGCCCGCCCCATCTGCCCCCCCCCGCTCCGATCGGGGGCAGAGACGACGACCCGTCCGCCGGCCGCCTCGCGCAGGCCGCGACTTGAGCAGGGGGGGCCGTCCCCGCATTTCTGTAGGCCTACCACGAAATGCTCTTAGAACCCAAAAATGCTCTAAGAGCAAAACAATGTTCTTAGAACATAAACCCGATGTGTCAAAACAAGACAGTCCCAGCCAGAAATGTTCTAAGTACATTTCGTGGAAACCACAGAAGGTTCTTAGAACATTGTTTGGTAGGCCTACAGTTGTGGATGCCATGACAATGAACACCCTAACAGTCCGATCATGTAATTTAAAATGTGCTTAAAATGTTGGAAAATGTTCTAAACATGTTTGAAACATGTTTAAAATATGTTTAAACTATGTTTAAGACATGTTCTAGACATCTGGAATTTACTTGGCAACATGCTCTCTCTCTCCATTGATCGTCCTCCACAAGCCTACAGGCACGCCAGGACGCTTCGCCACTGCTTGAGCGACAGGCCGCCGCGGGCGCGGCCCCGGGCCACGACGGCTGACCGCAGCCGGCCGCGGCCGGGGCGCGCCGGCGCACCGCGGCAAGGAGGTGCGCCGCCACAGCAGCTCGGCGCCCGCGGCGCTGCCGCCGTGCCCGGCGCTCGATCGCAGGAGCGGAGGCGGCAGGACCACGCCCTGCACTGCAACCGCTGGGCACGAGCGCGCGCGCGCGCGCGCCGCCGCTGGCGCACACCCCCCCTCCCCCGTGAAGGCTCAGCTGAGGGGCCTGTTTTCCACCACCACCACCACCACAAGTGGGAGGGGGAGGGGGTCCCCCTCCTCCTCCTCCTCCTCCTCCTCCTACTCCCCCTCCTCCTCCTCCTCCTCCTCCTCCTCCTCCTCCTCCTCCTTCCAGAACCTCATAGGAGCAGCGCCATGCGCTGCTCCGCGCGGCGTCGGGGCGGCCGGACCACGAAGCCGGCCGCGGGGGGCGGAGGGCTCACGAGCGACGAATCCGTGCACGGCCATTCTCTCGCGGTCCGCACACCCGGACGCCACCCCATGCTTTGGACGCCCGAAATGGGTACGGAAAAAATGGGCACAATGCCCAACAACAAATGCTGCCCCAAACCAACAGCGGCCGCTGTTGGGCAGGCGGCCTTCTGTCTCAAATGTAAACAGGCCGCGGCGACACCGACAGCGAGTCCTGTTCAGAATGAACAGGAACCGCTGTTGGGCATTGTGCCCATTCTTTCCATACCCATTTCAATCGCGCTGACATGCCCACGGATGCGCAATCCTCGCAGGGCGTCCGCGACGGGCCGCCCCCGCACCCGCGGGGGTCGCGGCCGAGGAGTCCAGGCCGCGGTGTCGCGGATGTGGACATGTCACCGCACCGACCCTTGCAGACGTGCTGCGGCTGACTTTTGGCGTGGAGTTCTGCCAGTGCAAACCCCAAAAACGGCGGAGCGAAAAACGAAGCGAATTTCGCTTGTATGTTTGTTTTAGTCTTCATTCCTGGCCCCCCAAAAAATCCGCACGAAATTCACTTCCAAATCCGGAACGAAATTCTCCAGGACACTCTGGGTCCATCCCATTGTTTTCCGAACGAGATCCGCTCCGCGATGTTGGCGCCATGGGGTAATTATGTGCTGTCCGCCTGCGGAGGGGGGGCCAGGGGGGCCCCTCCCGGCGCGGGCTCGCGGGCGAGCCGAGCTTGAGCTGGCGCCTGAGCAGGCACGGGTCGAGCCAAGATGGCCGCGGGGAGGAAGAGGAGAGGGAGGACGATGAAGGGGCCCTGGGACACACAAATAAATACACACAAATAACGGGATTCCCCATATTTCCCCATACTTTCTGGGTTTCTTGTCTTCCCCCCCACTTCCCATATGTTCCCATATTTTCCTGGGGATCGACGACTGATTGTGTCTGTGTGTTGTCTCCTCTCCTGAGACGAGGGAGGGCGAGGGAGAACGGCGCAGCTCGCTGCAGGGCTCAGAGAGGGTGCTCGACCCAGCTTTCGGGCCGAGGCGACCGTCCGAGCGGTACACCGTGCCAGCCTGCAAGGGCGCACAGGTGTTCGCCAGAGGACGAGGGAGGAGAAGCAGGGAGGGGGGGGGAAGAGGGAGGAACAAGGGGGGGTACTACAGAGCAAGGATAGAAGACCAAAAAACGAAACAACTAAATAAGCGTTCAGGGGTCCACGCGGCACACACACACACACACCCACACACACACACACACACTCACACACCGTGGCGGCGCCAGCGCCGACTCAAGAAACCCGGCGCGGACCTCCAAGAACCCGGCGCGGACCCAGAAAAGTGCATGATTCAGCGCCAACTGACGGAGTACTCCACTGACGGGCACTTTGGCCAGAAACCTGGTGACCCCAACCCCTCCCGATGCGGGCAACGCTGCGCTGCGCTGCCCGAAGTAGGCCCTGAAGTGGCAACTTTCGGTGAGTCCACGAACTACCCGTAAGCGAGTACCCACTGCGGCGGTGGCACTGCATGGTCTAGGAGTTGCTGCTCCGTCGAGCTGGAAGGCAGAGAGGAGGGATGACCTCTCGAGGAGTGGTGGGCGTGGACATCTGCCCGCCGCTGCAGGCGGGAAGGTTTATCCGCACCCCCCGCCCCCACAGGGGTCCAGGGCAGGACCCCCGCGACTGTGGACTAGGGGAACAAACCATGACATAAACAGAAAAACTCGGAGGTCCGCGCGGATTTCTCGGATCCGCACTGGGGCCCCCTCGCGGCGCCTTCGGCGCCGCCCCTGTCGCGCTCCGCGCGCCAGGGAGGGGGGTCCAGCGCAGTTCCGAGAAATCCGCGCGGACCTGGGAGTTTTTATGTTGATGTCATTGTTCGTTCCACTATGGATGATGGGCCTGTTTTCCACCACCACAACCACCGTAAGTTGGAGGGGGGAAGGAGGTGGAGGACGAGGAGAAGGAGGAAGAATAGGAGGGGGAAGAGGACCCCCTCCCCCCATGCTACTTATGGTGGTGGTGGTGGAAAACAAGCCCATCATATGGACGTGGACGTCTGCCGGCGGCGCAGGCAGCTGGACCTGCACCTGCGCGGGCCCTGGCCGGGCCCAGCCTGGCCCCGTCCAGGCTCCGCGCTGCTGCGCAGCTCACGACGGGGCCAGGACCAGGACGACGCAGCGCGAGGCTCTGAGAGCCGGCGCTTCTGGGGGATCCATCGGGCGCCGCGGCCGTTCCTGACCACCTGCCAGACCACCCCAACCCAGCCCGAAGACCCGAATTTCGGGTTGGGGGGGGGGGGGTACAGGCCTCATATGTGGTTCTCAATGTTCCCTGACCCCCTCCCCTTCTGGAAATGGGGGGCAGATCGGGGCATTCGGGTTGGGTTGGGGTGGTTTGGTGGGCGGTGACTTCCAGAGCGCTCCAGAATGGTCTGAGAGCGTGCTGGAACACTCCGGAACGATTCATCCTGGTCCTGGCCCCGCCCAGCAGCTGGCGCCCTCCTGAGAGCAGGAAGATGAGGAGGGAGTAGTGAGGAGGGGGGCGGCGGTAGAGCTCCTCCTGCACGTCCTTCTTGCTGGAGCTGGCGCTCAGGGTGGGCCACCAGTCGGGGTGCTTCGCGATGCCCTGCGGCAAGAAAATCTTTTGCGGAGATGGCGTGGGCTCTTGTTGGCGGAGCGAGCACGGGAGTGGCACGAGGGGGAGCCTTGTTGGGTGGCAGGGGGCTTCTGAGCAGGCGGGGTCTTCCGTAGAAGGGCCCAGAGCCTTCTGAGGAGGCTTCTTGGAAACTGGCAGGACATCTGAGAAGCCCCCTGCCTTCTTCGAGGGCAACCCAACTGTTGGCCCACCGGTTCTTTCCAGCAGAAACGCCTCATCGACGGCGAGCCGTCGGGTTGAAGTGTCAGGGTTCCCTAAGAGACACGGCTGTGACCCGAGGTGCCGTGCCAAAAGCAGCAACCCGACACCAGCCTTCTGTCTCGCTCTGATCAGGCCATACAAGCACAGGCTTGCTTGGATCGTCCTCTTTTGGGATGGAGCCTTGAGGAAGACCTCGGAGACTACAAATCGAGCTGACATTCGGGGCGGTCATCTTGCAAACGTGATGCTTATACTCCCTCCACCTGAAGGCAATTGGAGCCGCTATTCCTCACCTGATTCGGCACGGTGCTTTCCAGTGGGGGCAACGCATTGCTAGTCTGCCGCCTGAAGTTCTACGTCAAGCCACCACGCATGTCTCCATACTTTCTGATACGGCGCAGCTCATTTTCTGATAAGACCAAGTGCAGTCGAAGACCACTTTACAGTATGATGTTTCCTCCCCTATAGTGCCGAACGCGCACCCTCAACGTGTTAATACTTTGCGTACGTGGGAGTACTACATGTTGACCGCCACTCAATGAGACAGCTTGGGCCATCTATGTTTTTCAACTCTCCCTCCTCCAACCTCGAACCACCTGGAGGGAGACAGCCTTCAATGGAACAGCACAGGCCATTTCCGTAATTCTCCCCAACCTCCTCTAACATCCACCGCCTGAAGAGCGAAGTCCATCCACAGATAGGAAATTCTACATCATGGCCGTCACTCAATGGGCATGCCGGCACTGACCCGTTCATTTTTCGTGGTTCCAAGGCTTCGGCTTGGGCCCCTCCTCCCACCCACTCCGACGTCCATCCCCAGGGACGTTGGACAACCAGCCTCTCAGAGGCACCAAAGCTGCCAGGCAGGTCACAGCCGTCTTAGCCCTCGTTTCGCTTCCCTCTACCCTCTCCATCACTCATGCCTCTGCTGTGACCTGCCCACAATGTCCACGTGGAGTCATGTAACAATTGACCAGGTGCTTGCCTTACCTGACAATCTTCTCCTCCCCAAATCAGCATTATGTTCCTGCCCCTACTTCGCCGCTTCACTTGTCAGGCAGCACGGAACTCGGAGGCTGACCTGGGACACAGCAACAGTGACCCGCCCCGTGTTTCGCTTGACTCGCAGGGAAGTTTGCGACGCGTCTACGCCTCCTTCGCGATCAGTCAGGCATGCATTCGCGGAAGCCTCACCTCAAACAAACTCCCCATGCCTCCGACGTCGTCTTCTTTTCACAGCGCGGGCCAGGGATCTTGGCGGCATCCCAAAGACTGTTTCGTCGCCGCGGGCAATTTTGGGATGGCTCTGGGGGCCCGAAACGGGCGCCAGTGTGCCGAAAACGCCCCCGTGGGCCGAAACGTGAAAAAACTTGCCGTCGATACTCTGGTCCCTTCTGACGCTGAAGGCCCGGACCCGATCCTCAAGGTCGACTTCAGACCTCTCGCGGAGTGCGTGCTGGAAAGGAGTCCGAGACTAATCACGCTGTGGCGACGAGGGCGACGCAGAAGCCCAAAAACGGCCCTCCTGCTCCTCCTCCTCAACCGCATCACCAGTGTCACTTCGTCAACAATAGCATCAGCATCATCATCATCAGCAGCATCACCAACACCACCATCACCACCACATCATCATCATCATCATCATCATCATCATCATCATCATCATCATCATCATCATCATCATCATCATCATCATCATCATCATCATCATCATCATCATCATCATCATCATCATCATCATCATCATCATCATCATCATCATCATCATCATCATCATCATCATCATCATCATTATCATCATCATCATCGTCATCATCATCAGCAGCATCATCGTCGTCATCATCATCAGCATCATCATCAGCGGCATCGTCATCATCAGCAGCATCATCATCATCATCGTCTCAACCACCACCACCACCACCACCATCATCATCATCATCATCATCATCATCATCATCATCATCATCATCATAATCATCGTCATCAGCAGCATCATTAGCATCTTCAGCAGCATCATCATCAGCATCAGCATCATCATCATCAGCATGATCACCATCATCAACGGACCATCATCATCAGCATCATCATCATCAGCATCAGCATCGTCATCGTCATCATCATCATCATCATCATCATTAGTATCAGCATCATCGAATTAAGCATCAGCATCGTCATCATCATAGCAGCATCAGCATGAGCATCAAGATCATCATCATCGACATCACCATCATCATCATCAGCATCATCATCAAGAGAAACTTCATCATCATCAGCAGCATCAGCATCAGCATCATCGTCGTCGTCGGCATCAGCAGCACCATCTTCATCGTCGGCATCAGCAGCACCATCGTCATCATCTGCACAATCATCAGCATCATGATCCTCAGCGTTATGCCCATCATCATCAGCAGCAGCATCATGAGCATCATCATCAGCAGCATTATCCAAATCAGCCCCATCCTCATAGTAGTCGTCGCACGCAAGCATTAGCCTCAGCATCATCAACATCAGCATCACCCTCGTCATGGATGAGTGTCATCATCGTCATCAACACCATCAGCATCATCAACAACAGCACAGCATCATCATCACCATCAGCAGCAACATCACGAAAATATAATAATCATCATCATCAACAGCATCATCATCATCGTCACCGGCATCAGCAGAACCATCGTCATCATGAGCACCATCATCAGTACCATAGTCAGCAGCATCATCATCATCATCATCGTGAGCATCATCAGCATCAGCATCAGCTTCATCATCAGCATCATCGAAATCAGCATCCTCAGCGTAGCCATCATGTTCGTTACATCATCACCATCGGTATACATAGGCATCATCATCCTGGCCGTCATCATCATCGCAAACATCAGCATCAGCATCATCATTATCATCAGCATCATCGTCATATTCCGTATCGTCATCATCAGCATGATCATCATAATCGGCATCAGCATCAGCATCAGATATATCCTCTTCCTCCGCATCATCACTATCACCAGCAGTATCACTATCACCACCAACACCATCATCATCATCATCATCAGCAGCAGCATCATCGTAACCATCGGAATCCCCGGCATCATCAGCATCAGCATCATTAACATCAGCACCAGCATCATTATCATCATAAGCATCATCATCACTAATCACATCATCAGCATCAACAACATCAGCATTATCATCATAAGCATCATCATCATCAGCATCATCAGAATCATCATCAACATCAACATCATCAGCATCACCAGCATCATCATATTCCTCATCCTCGCCCTCATCATCATCATCAGCAGCATCAGCATCATCATTAGCATCAGCACCAGCACCAGCATCATCATCATCATCAGCAGCACCATCATCATCATAAACATAAACATCAGCATCTGCATCATCATCATCAGCATCATCACCATCATCATCATCATCATCATCATTATCATCATCATCATCATGCTGTCTTAAGCGCGGGGGGCGGAGAACTGCGCAAGCAGTAAAGAGTTTTCTGTTGCACTATTCTCGTGAACGCAGCAAAATCATCGCGATGAAACCCGACCGACCTCGGATCGGACGGGTGCTACAAGTGTCTGATCAAACACTCTGGTCCCAGAAAATTAGTTCGAGCATTCGAAAATTTCAAGAAAAGGGAAAAGAGGCCTTGGGTTGGCGGCGGGAGCCAAAACGGAGCAGCTACAGAGAAGCTGTTCGGCACCGCAGTGCAATTTCCCAAAACAGTGCAAGCACGACGGAGCAAGGACCCCCGCGGGGCGAAGCGCGATTATCCACGCGCCCACGCACCGAGAGGGTTGGGGTCCACGACAGGGCCCGCTATTTTACATCATTCGTGTGCACGCACCCCCATGCTGTCTTAAGCGCGGGGGGCGGAGAACTGCGCAAGCAGTAAAGAGTTTTCTGTTGCACTATTCTCGTGAACACAGCAAAGTCATCGCGATGACACCCGACCGACCTCGGATCGGACGGGTGCTACAAGCGTCTGATCAAACACTCTGGCCCCACGGCATCCCCAAAACATGATGTTCGCTCACACATTGAAGAAGAGGGACCTGGCCTGAGACACAAGAGTCTTCGCGAGCGCTCTGTTCAAAGCTTGTGGACAGGTCTGGGCTATGATGGTCCACACCTTCGGGCGATGCCCCTTCGAAGATGAGGTGCGGCCTGCCCGTGCGGCTGCAAATTCCTGCAGGCCTGTCGCATGTTTTTGCTAATCGGGCGAGCTCGTCTGGGTGGCAATGTCCTACGAGGAACCGAGTTCGCTTTCGCCGGCGAGCTCCAAATTGACAGAAATCCGAAATGGCGACTGACACACACTGTAGACTGGCTAGTCTGAGGAGCTCTGGCGTTTTAAACATGCAGCTGTTATGAGGGTTCTCTAAAATCCAAGGGGCGCAAAAACGATTGCACTCTGCGATTATCTTCAACACTGCACGCAAGCATGTGTTGCCCGTCTGTAGCTTCTCCCAATCCTTGGGGGTCATTTCACTGCGGGAAAGCCCCGCGGCCGCGCGACGTCTCTGATCGCGGCCGAGCGGGCTTTCATTATAGAGAAGGTGGAGCAGGGAGGCGCAAGCATTACGCCTCGGCAAATCCCTGCACGAATGTCTGAGAGCAAACGCTTCAGGACGGGCGGCCGCGTCAGGTCGCCGCGGTCGCCGCGGCGCTTCTCCCAGACCCTTGCCTGGAAGCCGCACCTCCGGATGGATTTGGCCCCGCCGCCCCCGCCGGCAAACGCGTCGGCAAAATAG